GGCCTGTTGGACCTCTGGCGTGGTTCAGTGTGTACCAAGAAATGCCAAAGGCAGATCTTATTCCTGTTGTACCATTCTGACCAAGGTGGCCCTGCCCAAAAGGAGAACTGTCTAGTCACTAAAAAAAGAAATGGCATCCTCTTGACAATCGCCTGTTCCAGCACTACTTCTCCTGGAGATAATAAGCAAGACAGCTGTGAAGAATGTGCACATGAATACTCTGCCTTGGTCATCCGAATCGTTCGAGCTCAGATGGAACAGTGTTTCCTCATATGTGTTCTCAGCACATTAAGACCCTAGAAATAGTCTTCCTGGTATCAAGTTCTATAGGGAAATTATATTAACTATATTTTTCAACTAGAATGGTTACACTGCCCCTTGTATACATGAAAGGCCCTGCAAAGTCCTGCAGTTAAAAAAAAATCTCACTTTGTTAAACTAAATGTATTTTAAAAGGCAATATTACCTGGTAGTTAAGAATGGGGGGTTCTGGAACCAGATTTTACAACTTATGGTCCTCCACTTACTAGTTGTGTGAGCATGGGCAAGTTAATCTCTCTGGCTCAGTTTCTGTACCAGTGAAATGGGAATAATAATTTACCTTCCTTATGGTATTTTTGTGAAAATGAAATGAGCTAATAAGTGCAAATCATTGAGAACAGTGCCTAGAATACAGAAAACATTAAATATATATTAGCCTTTATAATTTGCACAATTAATACATGATGGTTAAATATCTAATTGTTTTCTATAACACCTAATTATATCCAGAGGAACCTGTGTCTCATGGAATAGAGAAATGCTTGAATAGAAAAATTTCCCTTATACCTGAAGAGAAGTCAGCATCCTCTGTAGCACAAATGGCACAGCATAGAAATCAGAGTTTCAGTCTCCAGTATCAACTTATCCTAACTGGGTCTGTTTCCTTATCTATAAAAGTAAGGTCATTAGACTAATTGGTTCTTTCAGCAACAGCAGTCTAGGATTCTAAGGAAAAAGCATAGCAATTAAAATGGCAGCCCCTACCCAGTCCTGGCTCCAGCTCGATTGCTCTTAGGTGCTACCTTTTAGACACCACACTTTGATTTAAAGCTGCTATTGCAAGACTTCTGGTTAAAGAACTGGTTGCTGCCCAGCAAGATGGAGATGAAAATGGCCTCTGCCACCTCACCCCAGAATGCTGACGCACTCACAGTGGACTCTAACTGGCAGCAGTCATGACAGCAACGGGCTGCCACCTGTGCTATTTCAGAGGGCCTTTGATTCCCTGTCTTGGTTTCTGGCACCAAAGCTTGGGCATCACTCTTGTTTTCCCTACTGTGGTCTATAGTGCCCAGAGGGAGCCCAGTCCTATATACTAGTCACTCTGCTTGTCTTGAATCTTGCCAGCTCTTTCCAAAGGCTGAATTCTTCTAGTCTTTCTCATTTGCACAAAGCCCCAGGCTATAATTACAATGCAGATATCCATCTGTGCTCAATCTTGTCCACACATCTCAAATCTGAACCTTACCTGTTGAGTCTGTCCTGTCTCCGCAGGAAAAGGGCTGCTGCTTCTGCCCCTGAATATACTGCTCATGCCCCCTAGTTTAGTCTTTTGGATTTCTCTAGAATGGCAAATGGCTATGCTAATTTACATTTTATTTGTGCAAACATCCACCTATCCAGCCTTCCAGTATTTATTAAATGCTTCCTACATCCAAGCACTGTTCTAAGTTCTATTGATGCATATTGAACAAAAATAGATATTTTCTCTGTTCTCATTTAACCCACATTTTAGTAAATAAGAAAGGACAAATAAATGAACAAGATTATTTTAAATAGTGAAAAGTACTATGAAGAAAATAAAGCAAGATGAGGTTATAGAATATGCTGATGGGGAGAGGGAAACTTGGTGAGGGGGGTCAGGTTAGGCATCTTGTGGGAGGGGAAACCTAAGCTGAAACCTGAAAGATAAGGAGGACCCAGCCGTGCAAAGATCTGGTCTAGAGTATTCTCCTGGTAGCAGAGAAAACAGCCAGTGCACAGACTCTATGGCCAGAACCAGCCTGTGACAGAGAACAAGAAATAAGGCCAGTATGGCTGGAGCAGAGTGAATAGGACGGAGAGAGTGGGAGATAAGGCCAAAAAGGGAAGCAGGGCCAGATGTTGCCAGGCCTTGTTGGCCAGGATGTTTTGATTTTATTCTTATCACAATAAAAAGTCATGGAAGAATTTTAAGCAGAGTGTGACATGATAAGCCCATCCTTCTTCCTGCGGCTGCAACAATAACTATAGTATGTGTCCAGTAATACAGCAGCAATTCTCAAGCAAATCCTACATTCTGTTTGCTCACATTAGGGATATCAAAGTACTGTACCAGAGTAGAAGTTAAAATTATAACAAATCCACCAAAAGATATCCCTGCTGGCCTGACTTACACTGTAATTTAAGAAGTGAGAATTTCACAGGTGTTAATAGCTCTAATTAATAAGAAAAACCTCTTCTTTTGGGATTTGGCAGTAATAACGGCTCAAGCAGAAGTGCCGTTTGAATCCTCAGAAACTGAAATAACATTTTTTACAAAAAAAGAATCATTGCTCACAGTAACTAACTCGGCCTGGAATATAAAAGAACTAGAAATATAAAGATGGTTATCTTTAACAAATGTCATTCTATTATTTTACATCTCTTGTCAATACAGCACTTTAAAAAACTGCATTAGAATGAGTTTCCAATTGAAAAAAGTAAATTCCAAATATAGACAAAATTAGCAACCCCGTTCCTTGCTATTGTAATAAATGATTAAGGAGGTGTTAAAAAGATAAAGCAGCAGAGACTCTAATACTGACGGACATCCTTCTCCTTTTCACTAATCTTGTATTTTAGAGTGAAGGCCTGCAAAGGGAAGTTGATTCTTGGTATATTCCCGATAAAAATGTATCTTTCCAGAGTTAGCACTTGGGAAAAATCTCTTTAGCAGGCATTGCACATAAACTTATGCCAAGTTTCTCTGTACGTTTAAAATTGGAAAAGTGCATGTGCTCCTGACAATAATGTTCAGCAAACGGACTGAGACCAGATGAAGTACAATCACTAATAGACAGGGACGTTCAGTAATTAACATCCTGACAGCTCTAAGCACCTCTGTGATTAAAGGTGCTCGGAGAGAACACGAATGCCACCAAGAGCAGGCCAGACTTTCATACCCATGTGTTTACTTGAGCCTGAGCTGAAATCCGTAAAGAGAACGGCCTCTGTCTCATGGAGAAGAAATACAGACTGGGCCTCCTCTTAAATTCCCCACACTCGGTTTAGATGACTCTTACCTTCAATCTCTTTAAAACTTGCATGAGGATACTTTTTAATAGAATTATTCTCAACTTACATCACACATGGATAATCGTTCTGTCTCCCCCAATATGCTGTAAAATCCTCGAAGTCAGAATCATCCCTATTGCTCCCCACTCAGCCATCATACAAAAATTTCACACAGTACATGAGGGAGTGAAATAAAAACTAATTTTCTTCCAGCCTCGTTCCCCAAAGATAGCTACTATCAAGTTTCTTGTTATTTCCCTCTATAAAAGTTTGGGCATATACAAACTTTTGTGTTACACACTGTTTAATCCAAAGAGTAAACTTTAGAAAAAATAAGGATTGATAGACAGAATTTTAAATCTTTTCTGGTTCAGGGCAGTATATAAATAAATAAAATAATTATAAATTACTACAGAATAAGTGGTGTCGTAGACATTCCAAGATAGATACAATTGACCTCCACCTGCCCCTCACACCCTCTCTGCCTTCCTGGACTTCAGCTAGTATTGCATTTGGGTGGCAAATGCAGTTATCCAGGCATAAGCCTAGTGAGTCCAGCTTTGTCTCTAATAGTGATCCCTGGCCAGCTCACTCCATCTCTCTGGGTCTGTTTCTGCTACTATAAAATGAGAAAGTGTCCTCTAAGGTCCCTTGAGTCCAGTATTGGAGTTGATAATCAAGGAATGATAAATACAAACACGTAAGCCACAGCCAAAGTCTGAGATCTGTATCAGGAAGAAAATCACAGACACAATGAGTGTAACAGATTACTGGGAGAATATGGATGCAAATTCGATCAAAGCAGTTATTTTATTATTTTTATTTTTATTTTCTTACCAATTTTCTGGGCTATAATTCATAGGAAAGTCCACGTCTTGTTTTACCACAGAGATGCATCAAGCAATATACACTGATCCTGAAGTTATCTTAGGATACATCAGCAACCCTTCAGAAGTAGAACCAATCTACATTTACTCATTTCTCATCAATGCACATGGCCTTAGCGCCAGCCTCAGAAGGCTTGAGAATATTTTTCTATTGTCAAGAGTTACAGATATGTTCAATTACATCAAGTAGTTATAGGGTCACAACTCAGGTGACTAACATCTTAATTCTCATTTGCCACTTCAGTGGCAATTAGCTACCTACCAGGGAGGGGGTCTTCCTGGTCAGACCATATTTGCTATTCTGTTTGTTCTGCTCTGTTCTGACCATGTTCTTTACCAGGAGCACAGATAAATATCCAGGGGAGTGAGAAAGCAATGAGGGAGGGACTAGGGAGAGAGAAACAGGTATTGAGAGTGGGTAGGACACCATCACAGTTAAACTTCCATTTGGCAATTTGATTGCAAGCTGAAAATCCTTGTTCTAGGGCAAATGTGGGAAAAGGGAAGTGGCGTTCACAAGTATCTTTGCCAAATGTTCTTCCCTTTTCTCTGAGGCAGAAAAGATGAAGATTAAGAGAACAAATTTAGAAGTTAGAGAGATATGGGTCCTGCCACTACTAGACAATTACCTAGTCAATTTGAGCCTCCATTTGTTCATTTATTTAAAAAGAGATAGACAAGGCAGTGCTTATTATTATTATCATCATGTGAAAATATAGGTTACCACAGACTACCTCCTGTGAAAGACAGGATCCTTAGAAAACAATTCCAGGTAAAACTGAGAAAATATACCCTGGCAAAGGAGCCATTCCTTACCTGAAAGGAATTCATATAGCGAAGGGATGGAGGCAGTGTAGCATTATTCCTCGATAATATCAACAGCATTTCCAAGCAGGTTGCAGATGGCAGGGTTAGAGAGTGGACACTGATGTCACTTCCCCATGAGCTGGCAAGCCTGAAACACATTGATATGTGAAATGCCATAATTGCATCTGGTAATAATTATTTCAAAAAGTCTGATGTAGAGGAAAACTTTCAGTTGTGCAAAGAAAAAGTAATGTACAAGAAATAGGAATAAAATGATAATACTGTAAGTTCAGAGTCCACGACATTTTATAGTGTTTTGAGTATATAACAGAGGGATTAGGCAATTTTTTTCAGGTCAACAATATTTTACACTCAAAGTTTCAGAGTCATGTGAAATGCAGTTCTCTTTTGAGGGGTCTACTTGGAGTTAGGAAGAATGATACCTCGCACATCGAACACTTGCTATGTTTTATGCCCTATTCTATATATAATGTTTGTTCAACCCTCAGATACCCTTGAAATAGAACTATTGTTACCTCCATTCTACAAATATAGAAATTGTTTCTGAGCTGGATATGCCCTACGGAATATCCAATTCACTGATTTTCAGATTTTTAAAAAGTGATCACATTCATTCATCAAAAATCTTGTAAAAACTCTTGTTTATAATATAAATGAAAGTAAAGCTTCTGTTAGAAGGGAAAAAGTTGGCAGGGAGCTCTCTTCACCTTCCAGAGTGGCCTGTGAAGTAGCTCTGCTACATGCTGTGGAACCTTCTTGAAAATCCTTTCATTTGAGAGAAGAGGAAACTGAGGACTAGAAAAGTAAAGGGACTTGTCTGAGATGAGGCAGATGTTTAGCAAATGATATGGCTGGGTCTGAAATCCTGGTTTCCTGACTTCCTACCTGGTGCTTAAAGGGAAAAATCAGGACTTTATCATGAGAAAACAAAATAATAAGTATAGCATAAGTCTTACGCGATCAACTCTTCTATTTACAGTACTTGATTATTTCCTGCCTGTGCCCCCACCAAAGTATTTCTTAAAAATCAGTCCTGATTTTTAAAGAGAAATGTGTGTGTGTGTGTGTGTGTGTGTGTGTGTGTACATTTGCCTTTCTATAAATTTCTCTCTGTAAAGGTGCTTTTTAACCAAGTCAGTGGTGAATTCTGGAAGTTTAGGGACCATCACTGGTTGTGGGCATAATGGATTTACCACTTCATATGGTTTAACTGTGTCCATCAGGGTACTTATTATGCTGATATATTTCTGATGTGGGTTGCAGAGTTAACTCTTCTTTGAAGCATTTGCTTCTAGCTGGACTGGAATAGGACACTCTCCACATTCCTAAAAAATGGTTTGTTTCAGCAAGGGCACAGTTTCTGTCTTTCTGGTGTTTTAAAAATCATTATTTTATATTGATTGGCTATGTTATATTCTTTCTGCTTCTACTAACTGTATAACATTCTCAATATTTCCCTGGAATGGAAATAAAAATCTTGCTATCTTTGGTAAAACTCAAATGTAGTACAGCAGAGGCTCCAAGCTCATTTTTCTAGCACCTTCCTTATGCCCTCCATGAACCACAGTTACTTTCTATTCTCTGAACTGCGCTACACTGCACACCCTGTGTCTTGTCATACAGTGTTCTCAGCCTGGAAGGCTGTTAGCCTTCCTGATGCACTTCTGTCCATCCTGCAAGGCCCACTTACTTATCAGTTCTTTGGAGACACTCTTCTATTTCCCTTATCTGAATTAACTACTTGCTGAATACCATACTTGTATCTATTATAACACTTAGCACACCTTACTCGTATTCTTATTTGGGCTGTGTCTACATCTCCAACTTATCTAAGATCAGACACGAGCAACCATAGCCTGTGGATTCCCCTAATTTTGCAGTCTAATGTAAGAAATAAAGATTAAATTAGTGATGTTTTTCCTCAAAACCACCCAGGTGTTAGCCTTCCACTGGCTAAAAGAAATATCTTTTTTTTTTTTTTTCACTTATAATCACGATAAGTGAAAAATTGAACATATTTGTATGTTCAATAAGCAATTTAAGTTTTCTGAATTTATACCCTCCACCCCAGCAACCACAATAGGGTTCACTATTTTCATTCTGAACTTTTTAAAAAGTGCCCTGGAAAGGCTTTTGCTTTTTCTGAATTGGAGCTCTTGCAGCAAAGGTCACTTGACACTGCCCTGGACTGTGAATGTCCTTTGAGAACTCATCTGTGAATCCTCAAAACCTAACCCAGGGCCGACATGCTGCAGACCTTCCTCAGGGTGTCCCCAGATTAAGTGAATACTGCAAACGGGACTGGGGCCGCTGGAGCTCATAATTAAGGAGCCTAATAAGTAGGGATCACCTTTGAAGCAGTGTCACTTTTTCATCATTTTCAACCCTTCTTTTGGTGGTAATATATTTGCAAGATAAAGGAAAATGGAAAATTACAGACATAAATATTTTTAGAACAGAGCTATTTTAGTTTATTATGGCTATAGCATGCTCTCTGTAACAGATGCTTAAATTTTATAAGTTTTAGGATTTAGGTTTCTTCTGACTGTTGCTCAGACAGTGGGCCAGGTACTTTATTTATAGTCATTGTCTCTAATTCTACAGTAGCCCTGAATGGCAGGCATTGCTCATCTCATATTAAAGATGAGGAAACCAAAGGTCAGAGAGGTTAAGTGATTGTCCACCATCATGCAGCTGGTGGGTGATGGAACAAGAATTCACTCAATTCAGCCCCAATCCAAAGCCTGTGCTCTGCGCATTATATGAAACTTATCGTTCAGGACACTACATATATCATCATGATCTCCAAGCAAACCACAAGTAACCAAATCTTCTAATGCCTATTTCTTCTGTATGTTAACTCCTTAGCTTGTAAAATATACAGTTAAGAGTATTCTTGTTTTTCTGTAAGAACTAGTTTTATCTTTCTTAAAGCTGATACTTTATATATACAGATGGACATGGGAAAATACCCATATGTCATGGTAAACAAAATAGTTATATAATGAGGAAAAAGGTTAGGCAATACAATAAATATAAATGGTTATTTGTATTAGAGGGAAATAATAACCTTTTTTCCAATTTCTTCTTTTTTTTTAATTTTAAAGTGGTATTTTTAAAATCAGAAACAAGTTAATGATGTAGATGAGATTTCTGGTATAGACAAAGTAATGTTTAAATACTGCATAAAGGTATCAACATGCTGCTATGGTATGATCTATCAAAAAGGACATGAAAACAGAAATTAAAATATATCAGCACTGCCTTGTCACCCATCAGCAAGTGATCTTGGACAAGCGCTCTTGGGCAGGCCTAGTTTCCACATAAGAACCTGGAGTTCATACACAACCTATCCAACATATCAGACCACTAAAACTTATACAAAAGGACATTCTACTAATGATAGTCATAAAGACAAATTACTTATACATGTTATTCATGTCTGTATGTAATGATAAACATTTGCATGGTATGTGAATCCAAGATTGGCATTTTAAATCTAATCCTTAAAGTATTCTATGATTTAACAATTTTTATTCTTATTGAAGCTCAAAAAGGTGAGGAATGTTATCCTGATCACACAGTCGGTGATGGAAAAGAAACTCAAGAATGATCCTCTCCATCTGAATCTCATTCTCTTTTTACTATGCCATAAACAAGGCAAAAGCACACTAGATATTTTCGAACCAGTTCTATCCAATAAAATCAAACCTATTCTATACATATAAATGGGGTATTTTAGATATCTTAGAACACCTCATTTTTTAATAATTTGAACTACCCTATCTCTGAAATTAGACAACCCAGCTGGACCTAATATGGCTTAAATTCCTAATATTCATCTTGTCCTTTCCCACAGTATATTTTTTATTAGCTGCAGAACTTATTTTTTAGTGTTAAAATTTATAAATTTTCTCTATAATTTTAATCACATGAAACATTCATATATGTAGACCAAGAGAGAAATTAATATATGAAAATAGTTGTTTTAGAATGGTTGAATGGTGGGTAATGTGTCCCCAGAAACTTGGTTAATGTTTTTACATTTAAAAACAAAATTAGAACAAAGAAAAGAGAGCAGGAAGTAAAGAGGGAGAAATGGTTTGGTATACTTAAAATTCAGTTTATTTTAAAACAATCACCAAATTCATTATGTAGAACTTAGGGCATGTGTTGATTAAGCCAGAGGTGATTGAGAATATCCACCTACAGCTCAAATATCAGTACAAATTTCTGATAATGATATAAACATTTTAAGAAACATAGTATTACAATAATCAAAATTTGGATTATTTATGGTATTTCTTGCAAAGATATCATAGACTATTAGACCTAAATCAGTAATCTGCTATAAAATCAATGAGAAAAGTACTTCGAGAGGAACAACGAACTAAACATCAACTGAAATCTCTTTCTGTGACTTTTAAAAGTTCTGGGAGAGGAAAAGTTTTCCTAGGAGATCAGTGCTGTCAGCCAGATGACCTTAGTCTAAGAGACCAAAACGCAAGCAGAGGACACACCATCCTTATTTCTAAACTTTCGCCTTGACAAAATTCCCCAGAGAAGTAACTATGGCCTATCTATTTTTATAGAGACAAAGAGAAGGGGGAAAAAAGTCACTTTCTATCACTTCTAACAAAAATGGTGAAATTGAGAATGAATCAACCACCAATCAACATCAAGAAAGAACTTGAGAAAATAGAAAGGTGATACAGTCTTCTAGGGCACACAGAGGTTGTTTAATGAAATAGGTGAAAACAACAAATAGAGATGATATAACAACTCTACCGAAAATTAAAATATTTCAAATGAGTTCAACATAACTATATAAGGAAGAAAAAAATAACAGTATAGAAAACCTCAAGATAAAAATATTTAACTTAAATCTCATGTTTCTCATATTTTAGTAGTTGATTTGGACTATTCAGTCCTAGAAAGACCTAAGAAAGAACCTACTAATGATGTTAAAATATAATATTTTTATATCTGTGGATTTTTAAAATTCAGTGATAAGCCCATCATGTTAAGCTCTTAAAATACCAAACAAGCAAAGATCACAACATAGTGCTAGAATCATTATAAACATACAACTATTTAACACATAATTTGGACAAGGAATCAAAATTT